TATATGCAACAATCATAATTAATCAGATCAATTAATAATTGATGGATAATCAGTTGGAGAATGGGAATTAAACAATTTAACTTAATAATAATAATAGTAGCAATAATGTTACCTAAATTCAAGTTTTGATTTTTTGCCATATTCAACCGAAAGTCGTTCCATTAGCAATGATGAAAATCCGGATCCGGTACCACCACCAAAACTATGAAACACCAAAAAACCTTGCAATCCCATGCATTGTTCCGTCTAAAAATAAGACAAATTAATATATTAAAACAAAACCTAAACAGAATTTTGGATCATGATAAATATAAAATTACAAACCTGTTTTCGGATTTTTTCTAATACCACATCAATCTGTTCCTTACCGATTGTATAATGACCGCGCGCATAATTATTGGCCGCATCTTCCTTGCCACTAATTAATTGCTCCGGATGGAAAAGTTGTTTGAATGGGCCACAACGAATTTCATCTGTAAATACATTGCTATTAATATAGGCAATAAATGTTATTAATAATATAGTACGATTATGATTAAATGTGATCAAATCAAAATTGAATATTGATTTCGACTAATTTCAATCAATAACTTAATAAATAGATAGGATTAAATGTGATCAAATCAAAATTGAATATTGATTTCGACTAATTTCAATCAATAACTTAATAAATAGATAGGATTAAATGTGATCAAATCAAAGTTGGATATTGATTTCGACTAATTTCAATCAATAACTTAATAAATAAATAGATTTCAAATAACTTTATTTAAATTAAGCAAAGAAAACAAAACAAAACCATAATGAATATGTATATATTCAATAAGCTGTTGTATCATTTATTTGACAAAAAACAAAATCGAATATGCTAATTTCAAGTGATATGAAGTATAACTCTTTTATAATACTAATTTTTATCACTATGAAATGTGAAGATATTTCAAAATATTATATGTAATTTCTAAGATCCATTTCTAATTCTATGATTCAAAATAATTTAGGTGTTTTAATATTGATAAGATAGCAGTAAATGAATTAAAAACAAACCATACAGGTAACAATAATATAAAAGAAAAAAGGATTAAAAAAGTTCGAACAAAATTGTTGCCATACAATTTTCGAAATTTTCCTTTAATTTAAATAAATTATCGAAATTTAGTAGATTTAATATTTTCTCCTAATTTAAATAAATTATCGAAATTTAAATATGATTTGATAAGAAGTAAAAGCAATTTCCTTCATTCATTATTCATATTCGCCGAAATAATTTAATAGAAAATTCTGTTATAAATTAGCATTGTTTTATAAAAGAATGAACTATTAATTGTACTGGCATTGTTTTATAGAAGAATGAATTATTAATTTTCAAATGAAATGAAATAATTTACCAAGTACAGTAGGCTCTAAATCAATATAAATAGCACGAGGAACATATTTGCCACCCGATGATTCTGAGAAGAATGTTGTAATCGACTAAAAATATATTAGTTAAATTCTTTTTAAGAATTTATAATAAATCGATCATATAATAAAAGCATTTAATATTTGGATATATAATAATGAATTTTAAATTCAATTTCATGCTAGCAAACATCTAAACGATGTAATAATGAAGAGAAATATTGAATAATTAATTGATTAAATACAAATTGCTTAATTGTTTTTATTGATTAAATATATAAATATCGATTAATTAAGTAAATAATTTAAGCAAGTGAGAAAAGAGAAAAGGGATTATTTGATTTTAGCTTAAATGAATTACAAATAATTAGAAGAGACAAATTGTGATGGTAAAACAATAAATGACAATAATTGGTTAATTATATATGACAAATTTAATGTTTGGAATTTCTTGAAGGAAATATTATATTTAGATGTGAAAGTTAGCAAAAATTAAATTCAATACAATAATGACCTGATTTTCCGGTTTTTGATTCTGTATTCCGGATTCACTTCTTTCATTTGCAACTTTTCCATCTTTCCCAATATTGTGTTCTAAACAATACAACTCCCAACATGCATTTCCGATTTGGGCACCCGCTTGTCCGATATGTATAGAAATACATTCACGCTAAAAAAAAAAAGATACTATTTGAATTAACTAATAAAATATATGAATAATTATTGACTAATTAAGTTAATTAGCAGCTAGCAAATGAGTGATTGTAATGGACAAGTGTTGATGTTAATGAGTAATTACTACAGTAAATGTTTCATTTTCTTCATTATATTATGCAGCAAATCAATTGTACTAAAAAAAACAGGAGATTTAAAATTAATTTAAATATTTTTAAAAGATCAATTTAATGATTCTGTTGTGATAATTACTGTATTTCTGATATGACATATATATATATATATATATATATAGTCTGTATATAGACTACTGTCCTTAAGCAAAATATTAACGTATTTACTACTGTTTTTAATTAAGCAGAATGCTAACGCATTTTCTTCTTAGCAATCCGAAATTTCGGAAATATATCCTGAATACGGTTAACATATTCACCGTCATTACGCACTTTCTTATTGCAATGAATTACATAAATTAACTATGAATGAAAATTGAAAATTATAAGTGTGGAAAATTTTTACTTCATAAAGCTAAATTCATTTATCACACTCGATTAATATAATTTGAAAAAAAAATTTAATTACAAAATTTCAGTAAAACAAAGAGTATGAAAATTACCCCTTCACAAGGCATTGTTGCTATTTGCTATATTTAAATATAATATAACGTATCCAAACGTGAAGTAACGTAACGCAACGTAATATCGTCAAATTTCAACAACTAATACAATATCCAATAAGCTCTATAAAAAATTTTCAATACATTTAGGAGACAAATTATTTTTTAATAGATTGATAGAAACAAACGATGATCAAATAAGCTAAAATAATAAGTAGTCTACTGATATATAAACTATATGTAAACTTATGGATATAAATTATCCATTCACTCTTCTGACTTTATTTCCGCCTTAATTCAACCTGATATGAAGCACATTTGAATGAAAGAAGATGAAATACGACAGCCTTAGTTATCTTCGTTTCATAACAAAAATTTTCTATCAATTTCATTTAATCAAAATATTCAAAATTTCATTCAAGGTCTCTTGTTGTAACTCATCAATGAGCAAAATTAACTAATTCATGAATGAATGAATGATAGGGTGATGAAATAACGAGAGAATGAAAGAAAGAAAAGGGGTTGAAATAGGGTCAATAACAAATTTACTAATGTATTACATATTTTCTCTCTTCTTACTGAAATTCATCTCTTTTATATCTATAATATTTCCAGTTAAATTTCATCTCTTTTCTTGCAAAATTTCATAAGAGTGAGAATTATTGAAAGAAAAATTAGATGTAATAAGAAAGAGAAATTTGCTGAAATAATTTTTGTATGTAAAGAAGCATGACAGCAAAGATTTTGAATAGATCATAGTTGAAAAATTAGTTTTAACTATATCTGATCGTTTTCATATGAAATCCATTCTTTTTAGTCATTTATTTCTTTTCTCTCTTTTTTACCCTTACGACCTTCAATTTCATTTTTAAGATATGAAATGTTAGATATCATTTCTTCCTCTTTCATTTCTCCTTTTTTTTCGTCGTTGTAAATTAATTTGAAACGAAATGATAATGTGCTTTAATATCTGCGACAATAATCGTTTATTTAATGTTAGAGAGATTTGATGATTGAAAGGAAATTTTTCTTATAATATGTAAATTTTGGAAATATTTTCGTTTTAATTTTTAAGCTACTATAATTAATAAAAAAATGGAGGTATACGGTAATTTATCGTAAGCAACGAAATATCGTAACGGAAAAAGGTACGATATCTGCGACAATAATCGTTTAATTTAATGTTAGGAAAAGATTTGATGATTTGAATGGAAATTTTTCTTATATAAATTTTGGAAATGTTTTTGTTTTAATAATATCATAAATAGATATGTAAGAAGAAATTTAATGTTTACTTATCAGTGAAATTTTCATTTAAATTAATTTGCAAATAATTCTTTCCAAATTGTCTTAAAAGAATTAAAAGCTAAATTTTCCGTTGTAATTAATTTGAACCTAAAATAAAACTATCAAATATAAATTAATCGCATACTGTTTCATTTCATCGATGAAACAAAAAAATTTTCCGTTTAAAATAATTTTCAAGATAAATGAAAATGTGTTCAAAAGACCTCATAAATTTAACGCAGACGAATTGGTCGTTGACATTAGCGACGAACGACAATGAAACGATTATTGCATTTACAAGAAGAGTGAAATCGAATTTAATAAATAATTATATCAATCGACGAACGATATCATTCGGATAAACCTTTCCATGAATGATTTACTCTTGTAAGTACAATCTCTTGTTGTTCATTTCCGCTAGCATGAAATTACAATATTTCAAAAAATTACCATTTAAATTTTTAATGTAAAAAGTATAGGATATTTTATTGATTATATTCGTTGTATCTCTCACTGATTTTTCTGTTGCAAGCGTACGCGTTGAATTATTTCCACGGCTGCTAATAGTTTACGTGAAACCCAAACTGTTTATACGTACTCATCAATGAACATATTTAGAAGAAAAGAAAACAAACAAAAGGATAAATATATATTTTGTCGTATGAAACTTGGTAATATTTACTATCAAATAAAATTGAAACTTATTATTGTCAACATTTTCAGCTTTGAATTATTTTTGCTTCAATGCGATTAATTTCAATTTCCATTTTTTAATCATTTCAACAAATTGAGAGAAACGATTCAACGGAGGAAATATTGTTTCAACGGAGGAAATATTGTTTCAACGAAGGAAATGAGATTTAACGGAGGAAATATTCGTTCAACGGAGGAAATACGATTCAATGGAAGAAATATTGTGTAGTTTCAATTCAACGATTTCAATTCAATTTTTAATTACAGTTTTCTTTTCTCATTTGCCAAAATTGTAAAAATTTCTATCAACAATGATATATTTCGCAATTTACATGTTCTTATATACTTTGATAGCATTTGATAATGATTTATTCCGCTTCCTGTTATCATAATTAGTGGATGATTTCGACAAACCGTGTAATTGCACTTCTCCATTACTAAAACCGATTGCCTGAAAATGGTCCTAAAATGAAGTTATGCATTTCAAACTTGGAATATTTGCTCAAAGGTTAATGTTACTAATAACTATCGATTAATGTTAATAATAACTAACAACTATCAAGAAGATATTAATAAAATTTAGTAACAAACCAAAAGATTTGTGTATGAGTTGCTTGGAGTGACAATATACTGCCATAATTCAGCTGTGGTCACTTCATAGCCATCTTTCAATTTCAGATCATCTACAGATTCCGGTTTCTTACTTTTTGCTAAATCCCACGCTAACAACAATCCATTGCTATGAATCGTGTAGAATACAGTAGAATTACTAAAAGAATTAAGAAATTGGCATCTCTTGAAATTCAAATTTATATGACAAAAAAATTTGAAGTATCAATTTCATTTACTCATTTTCTCTTTTGAATTCAGAAGTTCATGCTCACTTCTGCGACCAACAAATGATAATGATTTCATCGTATGATGATAAAATGAAAATAAACAAAAACTAGCCTTGATGAGAAAAACACTCGTAGCAATGGCTTCTGGGTTTGCTGCGAAGGTTCCAGAGTCAAAATCGGCTTTGCATTGGAAATTTCATATAATGATATGTGACCACTCAAGAATCCCACCTAAGAACATGCAGTTATATCATAAAATATAAACTGATTCTGCTAACAAGTCAGATACATTCAAGTGTAAAATGTAAATGAGATACCAAAAAGAAATTTGATTCCAATGAAAAGCTAATAGAAATCACTTCAGTTGCCAAATCTGAAAATTATACATTCTGTAATGAAAAACAAATAACACGAAAATTTTCACATAAATTTTTAAATTGCAGAATTTTGTTAACAAAAGTTAAAGGTTGAATTTTTGAAAATTATACACAAACCTGAAAAGATATTGGTTATTTCAAAAAATTTTAAGAAAATTGCATTTATTAACGAGGTTAAAGGTTAGATCAGCAAATTAAAATTTAAAAATGGAGTTTAAAAAGAATGAAAATTCTGAGCAAACCGAAATCATTTCGATACATTTTCGGACCAAATAATTTGTTTGCTTTGCTTGCAACGAAATTAATAATAATACCACTAGTGGTACCAAGGAGAAATTGCGCCGCATTGGTTGGTACCATTGTCATACAATTGACAGTCATCTTTCGTGATGAATTCAAATTACTTTAAGAAAAAGAATTAAGTTTATGTGATTTTTGAAAAAGATGCAAAAAATTGCTTCCGCTGATTGATATTTAAGTATTTGAATAAATATCTTTGCCACATAAAATTTTTTCAAACATTACTTCCAGTTCTTAATAAAACTACTGGAATTCGAAATATTCCAAATTTTAAATTTAGGAGGGCCGAAGTCTGAAAGAAAATTTTTGGCCAAAAAAAGTTCTTGTATGGAAAAATAACCTAAAAATGACACTATCTGGTTGTATCACTGATGTTTGTGTCATTTTCAACTGTGCTCCTGGACGTAGGCCAAGATCATAATCAGTTGTTCGGGCTGTCTCTTCATTAATTACTGTCCATATGATAGCAACACCAAATTCATTAACACTAATAAGTTGATATGTCTCCGAACTGAAATTCAATAATTGCAATTGCATGTTAATTTTTAGCATGATGATACTTTTAGAATTCAATGAAATGATTCTTTCTCAGATATTTCAAACTCCTCAAATCCTATTAAATATCCGAAATAAAAGTGAATTAATTAATTACTCGATTCACCTGGCTATATCGGAAGGAATATTGCTAATTGCCACAATGGCAAATTGTTGGTACTCTTCAAATGCTTTGTTAGTAATAGCTTTAAAGGAGGTATCATATGCTGCTGTCCTTAACGGATACATTTCTCCATTTTCATGCCATCGTAATTTTGTCGTAAACAACGAATTTGACTCTCTCAGATCGTATGCCACACAACTGCCATCATTCTATGATATCAAAAAAGTAGCCATTATTTCATTAATTAATAAAATTGATTTTAAATGGAATTCTTAAATTTCTCGAATTAAATTCAGGCAAATTAAAATTAAATCAAATTGAAATTGCACTTCTTAATTAATTATGCAAAAATTTCTTCATTAGATTATTTCTTTAAAGCTTAAACTAAATGAAACCTTTAATTAAAAGTAAAATTGTTTTTAGCAATTTCTTTGTTTTTCTTTAAAATTAAATTTTTATTAATTTTCTGAATTTTAATTAAATTAAATCGTCTTTGCTCGATAAAATTTGAATAGAAATTTTGATACTATTAAGCATGAAATAATGATCTAACTTGCCAGGCCAACAAATATAGCACTAGTACCATCTGGTGATATACAAAGACATCGTATTTCATTATGACAAAGTAAAATTCTGAAAATTTAAATTTAATTTTATTCATTGTTTCATGAAGTAAACAATCTCTGGAAAAGATCAGAACTGAACTATAAAATTTATTCCCAATTAATTTGCATACATATAATTATTGAAAGGTCTACTTTTCAGGGATATGCGGTATGCAAATATCGAATTCAACGATAACACTTCGACTGATAATACTATCATTTGATGTTTGTTCAACATAAAATGCTACAAATAATCGATTCTCTCGATGTAGCATACTTGTAACTTTAGCAGCTGAAAATATTTTTCATTAAATAATTTAATAATTCTAGTAATTTTAATTAATTTTAATTTTGTCAATTTTTGTTTTACATTTTAAAATTAGCAAAAGAAAAAGAAAACAATAACTTACAATTTACAAGATTACCCAGAGAAAATTTGCAATAGCCCGTACTGAATTTAAACGATGAATGATATTCCAATGATAATTTGGTTGCATAGTTCGATGTTGATTGCATCATATCGATAAAAACCTACATAATTCTAATAGATTAAGCAATAATAATAATAATGATGAGATATATTTCTACTCAGAAAATTAAGCCTATATTGATTAAAATTTAACTATTTTTTATGCAATAATAATAGTTAATAATGATAATAACAATTAATAATAATAATGAATAGTAATGATTAGAACTTAACCATGATCCTTAAATTAAGCAATAAAAATAATGATGAAATATATTTCTACTTACAAAATTAAGCCTATATTGGTTAAAATTGAACTATTTTTTATGTAATAATATTTAACAATAATTAATAATAATAATAATAAATAATAATGATTAAAACTTAACCATGATTAAAACCTATTTATTTTATATTTTATAGCGATTTTATATTTGATATTTTATAGCCATACATTTTATTTTATATTTTATAAAAAATTGCTTTATTTTTCCTCTCTTCATTAAATTAAAGTTAAGTGAAAGGTAGTAATTTATCCCATCGTTTGGACAATTAAACGACGAAACACAAAACATTCTTTTAATTTAAATTTTTTTCATTTTTCCTTCTAATCATTGATTACATATTGAATGGATACTTATTGATTGAATATTTTGGCTATTGATTTAAAGAGGAAAAAATTACCTGTCCAGCAATAGAAATAAACTTTCGAAATTTTTCCATTTCAAAATGATTGATTTTTGAAAGTTTGCTTTCAGGGTCATCAATATCGTAACGTTCATCATGATAATCAGTACCATTCGAAATATTCACTATACCCCAGCCTTGAGGATCTAAATTAATTAATTAAATAGTTCGAAAACTTTTTAGCAGAAGCATTTTCTAATGAACTTACAAAAATCCAAATTTAATCAACAACTTGAAATTTGCTTCAGATATTTTATAAAAATACAGTTTTAATACAATTAATTATTATATATGGCAGTACCACAAGACCCTTCATAACAAAAACCTCAATATCAACAGTAGTTCTCGATGTTAACAAATCTCTAATAAGTAATAATTTTTTCTATCAACCGTAATTCTTCATGCCAGCTAGAATACCAAGTTAGTAATCCATTCTATCAAATACCAAGTAATAATCCTTTCTCTAGTACCAAGTAGTAATCCGTTCTATCAATGATCCTAAATACCAGTTATAGCTCATACTACCAACGGTATTCCTTGATATTAACAATCTTTGACACCAGTATTAATTCATACATAACAGTAATCCCACTATCTCAAAATTAAATGAAAGGAAAAAAGTAATTAATGAACTATAAACTTGTTAATTATCTAAAAGTACCCGAATACGGTATTTGTGTCCAAACAGTCTCTTTATCCACTTCTTCTGTTTGAATATAACAATCCAATTCATCGTCACCTGTCTGTGTTTGCACCTGTAAATTTGAATGTAAAAATTATAATGCATTAAAGAAAATGCTCATTTTCACTATAATCATCAAAGTTCTCTCAATTAAAACAAAAGAGTGAGCTATTTAATTAGTTGAAAATAATTTATGAAATTTCGAAGGATATTGTTCTTTTATCTTACTTAACAAGTATTTTTGCATCATACGGTAATTTCAAATTTCATTAATAATATATAAAATACAGTATGATTCAATTCTATTCAAATTAATTAAGGTAAATGAAAAGTTAAATACTATTACATAAGAAATCACGAGTATATAAAATTTCAGTCTGTCTAAGAAATTAAAATTATTTACTTTTTTAAGTTATACCTGATTGTAATTAGCATTACCAAATATTTTCACATAGAAATCGTATGCATGAATTGGATGATGATCCAACAGATCAAATTGTACAATTTCCATTCCTATTTTAAAATATCTTTTAAATATAGTTTGTCAAAATTTCCTTCTTCGATTTTTTTTACTTAATTAAGTATTAGCAAAATGATATTATCATTAAAATAATACCAATTAAATTTTTCAACATTTTATAACGTTTTTCAACCAATGATATTTTTTCCCAATTTATTGTTGTAGCATTTGCGAAATCAATTTTCCGTTGGACAATACCGGAATAATCCGCGGATTGCACCTGTAAATATGTAAAAAAGCTACACCTATCGATTAATTGAAGCTTAGATGTTTCATTACTTAGATTCAATTTATAGATATTAATTGTAACAATTTGCAAATACATTAATTCATAATTATTTTGCAGCAATTAGTTTTATTAATTTTATTAATTAGTAATTAATTATGTTTTAATTTCATATGAATAAACTTTTCAAAACTTTTTTCATTTTAAATTGAAAATTTGATCAATATTGTTTTTCTTAATCACAGAGTTTTTATGTTGAAGATAAAATGAATGAAGAAGGATAAGTATTCTATGAAATAGATGGAAATATTTGACAATTAATTAAATATCAATTTTGTATTTTCAACATTAACAATCCAACATATTAAAGAAATCATCGTTTAAAATAACGATATGGAAGTAAAACATAACGATATTGATTATTAATTATCGTTTAAACTAACGAATGGAAGTAAAAAATAACGATATTGATTGTTAATTATCGTTTAACGATGTGGAAGTGAAAAATAACGATGTTGATATATGGAAGTACCTGTGAAGGTTGAAAATTATTATCAGATTGCCGACGATTCATTATACGATGTAAAAGAGGTGAATTATCATACGATTCATTTCGTGTCATATCAATTAACGGATCCTTGTCAGAAGTTCCGATACGTGAAATGATTAAATTACTTGTTACATCCGAATCATGCTCACCTTTTTTACTTCTTTCTTCAATACTCTCCCTATCTAAACTTTCATTTTTATCATTATCAATTTCACTTTCTTCTTCAAAATCGTCTGAATAATCTTCGAAATCATCCTGAAATAGTAGCATATATATTTTTCTAACATATTCTTTATACGATGGGAATTAAATTGTCTTATATTGTTACTGAATTACTCAAAAATTATTTTAATTAAGTATTATGACTAAAAAATTAATCAATAATTTGTTGATGATTATTTAACTGATCGCCGGGTTTATGTATGATCAATTATGTATGATCATATTTGATCAGGAATGTATGATAAGCTATTCCTATGTAATGATCAGCTATTGACTGATCATGCATAGGAATGTATGATCAGCTATTAACTGAACTTGCTTCATTTTGTTAACATCCTAATTTAAATAACATCAAGATGAAACAATTGAAATTTATTTTTGTACAATTTAATGCATCGTCAATTGTAGCAAGTTTAATTTCAAAATTCGAAAGAATTTAGATTTGTTGCAAAAACAAACTTTATAGTCGTATTCATCGACATGACTTGAAGATACTGGTAAAACTTCCGGTAATGGAAGAAATGAGGAAAGTAGTAATTTCGATGTTTTCAAATTTTGATAGTTTGACTTTGAACTTCTTGCAACCATCGATGATTGTCCAGTCTTATCAATTGAATTATTGATAATGTATTTACTAGGAATTTTATCACTTATTAATTTTCGCAATTTATCATCATTGTTTTCTGGAACATATTTTGCCTCTTGTCGTCGTACTTTTTCACTGGGTTTTTTTCTGGATTTCAACGCTTCCAATTTATTGACACTGGATTCATCCGGATACTGTTTTTTAGTGCTTGTTGAATTTATTCGTAAAATTTTACTACTGGATGATAAAGGATGTCGTTGAGCTTTGTCAATTGAATTAGATAAAGGTAAATTTCGTTCAATAGTTGCCACCATATTCTGATTCACTTTTTTTTCTTTTTTTCTGGTTAACCTTTGAAACTCCTGAAAATACTGCATGATGAAATGATTGAAATATTTCAGGTAAGCTAATTACACTTTGATATCATTTTACATTTGAAAATAAAAGTTAATAATATATTTATTTTCATCCATTTATTTTCTTTAATAAATATCAAACGATTCCGAAATTGATGAAAAATTTTCTCTATCATAAAAATTAGGATACTAAATTCTACAACAAAATGAATTGATCCTTACCTTTTTTTAGTTTATAAAATTTTTTTAAATCACTTCGTCATTCAGGAAAATGATTGTACATTTTCCTGAATTATTTACATTCATTATGATTTCATTCAGGAAAATGATTGCACATTTTACCGAATTATTCATATTCATTATAATGTCATTCAGGAAAATGGTTGCATATTTTACTGACTTATCTAAACTTCATGAAAGAAGTTCAAGAAAACAAGTTTGTGGCGTAAAATTAATTTAAAAATATTAAATTAAATAACATATTAAATTGAATATATTAAATTAAATATACTAATATTAAATTAAATAACATTAAATGACATCATTGAATAATATATTTCATTATACCATATCATTAAATAATATACATATAATCTATATTATTTAATGATATGATATATAGATTATATCATTAAATAGTATAATATTAAATTAATAACATAATAAATAACATATCATTGAATAATATATATCATTATATCATATCATTAAATAATATGCATATAGATTATATCATTAAGTAATATATATATATATATATATTTTTTGCTTTTATATGCAATTGTTTAAATTGTTAGTATATTTCGATTTCTTATTTTTAAAGAAAGAAAAAACAAATAATTTGTAATTGAAAAAAACAATCGTTGGTAATTTGAATATTAGCAAAAATAATTAATTCAAAATTCAAGTCCTTTTAAACCATATTTTTGAATCGTTGAACTGTTTATTAATATTATAATTTATGATTTGAAAATTTTCATTGTTTTAAAATCTTTTCAAATACTTTTCAAATGCTATCCATCTCTAAATGAGTGTTACATAAGAAATGATTAAAAAAATTAATTATTAAAAGAAAAATAAAAGCATACGATTAATTAGCATATCATTAGTAATATATATATCAATTATATGTTTTTAATAATATGGAATACTAATATCTTTTTACAAATGCTATCCATCCCTAAATGAGCGTTACATAAGAAATGTTTAATATAAATTAATTATTAAAAGAAAAATAAAAGTATACGATAAATTAGCATATCATATGATAATTTTGATATGATATGATAATTTTAAATGATCATTTGCTAAATTAAATTTAAACTATGTTTTTAAAATTTAATGAACAAATAATAAGAAATCAAAAAACCTTCTTCTCGATACTTTTATTATCTTTCTGATCATTTTTCATTGCAATATTATCAATTGCTCCATTCAATGAAATTTGCATTTTCGTTCTTTCATCTTTCTTCTGGCTGAAGCTAACACATTTCATGACTGTGATACAATAATAATAATAATAATTGCATCACAGTAATATTATAATTATAATAATAGTAATTATAATTATCATTATTATAATATCAGCAAATTCACTTATTAACGTAATTTTGATATGATAATTTTAAATGATCGTTTGATAAACTAAAAAACGATATTACTATGTGTAATAATTGAATTTTCAATTTTGCACTTAAATAATACAAATGGATTCATTTAAAAAAAAGATGTATACTATATTTTTTATTATTAAGATAATATTTGATGATAATTACAAAACAAAACCTCTTATCACTATACTCTTTGTTTTTTGATTTGCTTCTACTTCTGGTCCTCGTCTTGTTTGACATCGATTTTCACTTCTGATCACTTCTGATATATTGAAATTATTGCTGAAATTTAAAATGCTATTGCAAATTTTCGATGACAAGATGAAATGTTTCAGTCAATGTAAAACACTTTTGATAAACATTTATTGTTCTAACCTCATATTATCAGCAATATCAGAAGCTATTGTTATCATTAATTGAATTAGCTAAATGTTTCTTAACGATAGCATAAGAAAATCGTAAACATATCCGAAGAAAGCTGCCATATTAATAATAATTAAAATTATCAAATCGATGAAGAAAAATTTTCTACAATAATATTCGAAATATAAATAAAGCATAAATTATAATATTTGACATGAAGTTTTAATTTTAATAAATTATTAGCAAATATAAACCTAGGTAATTGTTTACAGAATTCAAACAAAGAAGGAAAGGGAAGAATTTATTATTATCATTATTAATTATTATTATAATATTATTATTAGGGTGATATTTACTTCAAATATTTTCACTTAAGCTAAAAAATCAGATCCAAAATTTATACCTTTGAGCATGCTCCATTCTGAATTATAAACTATGCATTTTAGATGTAAATAGAACGCGAAATTTTGA